CCATGCCTGCCGCTGCTTGTGATTCCGCATGTAGAGAAGACCGGAATGCATAATTCGGTCGACTTCCAGCCGACCACGGTTAAGACGAACTCGAATCCTCGCGGCACCTTCGCGCGGCATGCAAGGATGGCGCAGCCTCCCCGATTGGAACTTTCGTCAAACTCCTCAGGCCGCGGTCGCCATGGCCATGGGCGCGACGTTGCTGCTCTGACAGACCTCGCGCGCCCTGGGTCCGACGTCCGCGTTCTGCTCGTAGAACCGCAACGTTCGGTTGAAACCTTTCGCCTTGGCAATCGTCGCCGCCGGTAGTTGGCCTGGGCGAGTGTTGACCGATGCCGACATTCGTGGGCATGCTTGTGAGCGGGGTATTTGCAGTGCTCCGAGTAGGCATCGTAGCTGGCGCTGCTCCATCTGGTTGAGCAACCTCTGGTTGTCGATGGTCATCGGCACGAGGTCTTTAGCGCAGGTGGTCATCTTGGCTTCGATATCACTGCCGGCGGCGGTCGTACTTGAGCGTCTGTTGATGCAGGTCGACTTCGCATCATTCAACCGTGTGGTCTCCGATCCGCTGCCTGAGCCTGGTCTTCTGCATGGCTTTCCCTGTGATCTCGTCGCAGCTGCCCCCGAGCATCCGGCCCCCGCCCCCGCGCGCGCCCCCCGCTCGCGGAAGCGGGGCCCCGCCGCCGCCGCCGCCGCCGCCCGCGCCGAAACTTTCGAACGCGCACGGGCGCTGGGGATGATGTCGTTTGAGCCCGCGCGCGCGGAGATAACCCGCTGCTCGCTGTCGCCGTCGCCCCGGGCGCCCGCCCGACCGCGCATGGGGCGGGCGAGCCCCGCGAGCGTCTCGGCGTCAGCCCCCGCGAGGTCTGCCGTGTCCTGGGGGGCCTTCGCGCGCAACTCGCGAGCTCGCCGCCGAAGAATTGCCGTCGCCACACAGGCTGGCCACAACCGCCACCCGCTTTGTCATGGGGATTTGCGCAGGGCCCTCCTGGCCGGTCGGCCCGTGGAAATCCCGCGCGTCGTTGGCAAGGAATGGCCCGAGCTCTTCCCGCTTGCTTCCCATGAGTCCTGCTCTCTCGTCGGGTTTCACATCGCGGGTGGATGCTCTCGGGTGCATATTGCTGAGCTTTGCGCGCGCGCCGTCGAAGCACCGTTCGAATGGTGCGTCGCTGCCCCCCAGTGCGCGCCGCAAGGTGGCGAGCTCGTCGCTGGCGCTGTCGGGCACTGGCGCTGCCGAGCTGCGAGCTGGCCCCAGCAAAGGCGGTCCTCGGCATGCCCCGCCAGGGCGTCGGAAGGTCGCCGTCTCGGCCGCGCCGAGACGACGTCGGCTCTTGGGCGGCGGGGCCCGTGCTAGAGCTGCAGGTTGCGATGGCGCAGGTGGCGACGGCGTAGCAGGCCCCTGCTGTCCGCTTGTCGCGGGCAGTGGCGGCGGCGGCGTGGCTTCTTGATTTGGCTGAGCCATTGGGCCCCCCTCTGGCGCGGCCGCGCCCACGTCGCGATCCTCGGCTAACGGCGTTTCGTCCGCCGCGGTTGAATGAGCCGCGCGATGGGGCCCTCGTAAGATTGGGCGGTGCCGCTCCCGATGATGCTGCCGCTCCCGCTGGCGCCGCCGATGTAGCTGGCGGACTTGGGGTCGTCGCTGGGGGTGATATTCGACATCGCGTGGCAGATGGCTGCTGACTGCCGTCGTCGTCGTCATCCATGTCGACGTCCACGTCGGAATCGCCTGGCGCCTGAAAGGGCGTCTGCTGCTCGCTTGCGTCGTGGAATTGCGTAACTCCAATCCTGCGCATGCCGCCGAGGGCGTCCCAATTGCCTCGCTTGGGTTCACGAGAACGACGCGCCCCTGGTCGTTCGCGCAGGGTCGCATGTGCTCTGGGGCGCATCGGAGCCGCTGGTTGCCGCGCACGACGCAGTAGAACCCGGGGCGCACTTCGTCTGGCCGCACCCCCATGAATAATTACGTCGATAGACCCTTCCATTGATTGTTGATGAGCTCGTTCGTCCTGCCCTCGTGCCAGCAGCGGCGCCGTCCAATAGTACCAATGGCAACCATGCGCCCCTGATAGGAATCCCATGGGGATAGGAAGGTTCGGAGTTCTGGGAGGCAATCGATTCTTTCCTTGGCAATCGAACTTGCGGACGCACGGTGTGAGTATGCCCGGTGCACGGCTGGTAGCAGTAGTAGTACACTAATAGTAGTAGTAGTAGTAATAATACTAGCAGTAGTAGTAATAATACTAGCAGTAGTAGTAGTAGTAGTAGTAGTAGTAGTAGTAGTAGTAGTAGTAGTAGTAGTAGTAGTAGTAGTAGTAGTAGTAGTAGCAGTAGCAGTAGCAGTAGCAGTAGCAGTAGCAGTTGTAGTGCCAGTGGTAGTAGTAGTCGTCGTCGTCGTCGTAGTAGTAGTAGTAGTAGTAGTAATCGTAGTAGTCGTAGTAGTCGTAGTAGGCGTAGTCGCAGTCGTAGTCGTAGTCGCAGTGGTAGTCGTGGTCGTAGTTGTAGTCGCAGCCGTAGTCGTAGTCGTAGTCGTATTGGCGTCGCAGCGGCAGTCTCAAGGGCAGCAGCAGCAGTAGTCGTAACGCTCGGGGATAGGACGAAGGAGGAACGCGAAGGGAATTCGGCGCCAAAATGATGAGGGGCCAAACCACATGCAGCTGCGAGTACCGCGAGGAAGATGAGACGAAGAGAGGGGGCGCGCAAACTCAGGACAGCTCTCATAGGCAGCGTCCGCAGGAATAACGAGGCGCGGGGCCGCGCATGTTCTCGCGCCCTGGCGACCGCGGCTCCAGGCAGAGCGCGGCGCGGAGCCCCCGCGACGCGCGCCGGTTGCCCCGCAGGGGCCCAGGCGGCGCTCGCGGGTCGTCCGCTGCGCGGAGCGAGGATAGCTGGCTGGCCGACAGCGGGCCAGGCGCTGGCCGTTGAGCAGAGCGAAGACGGCCGAGCGAGGCGCCGCGCGGGGAGCAGCACGGAGCACCCACGACGCGGGCTGGTCGCCCCGCAGGAGCCTTGGCGACGCGCGGCCTGGCCCACAGAAGACGCTCTCCGCGGTCTCCTCTGCGCCCGAGTCGTTTAGCAGCTTCCCTCCCGGCAGAGTGGCTTCGGCGCGCCCTACTCCGGCGTTGAGCTCGCCCGCGTGCCATGCGACCATGAATCGCTTAAGAATGTCGACGAGCGGCGCGCCCGGCGAAATGTCGATCTCCCAGCGCCACCCCCCGCCCGGCGCCAGGAAACGCATGGGCCGCGAAACGCGCGAGGGGCGCGCCGACGCAGGCGCGGGGCGCGCGTGGGCCCAGCCATCGGGACCTTCGGCGGCGCTTCTTATAGGGCCATGAATCGCGCGAGGAGCGTGCCGAAATAAGCAGCTGGGACATGAGGGCGGCGCCATTGGGGCCTTCGGGGGCTGCGAACGCGCGAGGGGCGCGCCGATGCGCGCGCCTGGGGGCGCGCTGAAATCAGCGGTTTGGACGCATGCGGGCGGCGCCACTGGGCCTTCAGTGGGCGTCGTCATGGGGCCGCGAAGCGCGCGGGGAGTGCGCCGAAATGAGCAGTTGGGACGCGCGCGGGCGGCGCGCCTTCGTTGGGGCCCTTTTTATGCGGCCACGACGCGCGCGGGGCGCGCCGACATTGTTTGGGGCGCGCGCGGGCGGCGCCATTGGGGCCTTCGGCGGAGCTTGCGCGGAGCCCCCGCGACGCGCGACGGTTGCCCCGCAGGGTTCGCCTCGACGTCCGACGTCGTCCGCACTCTTCTTCTCTAGTCTGGCTTCCGTCCGAAACATGAGGGCGCACGCGGGCGGCCGTCAGTGGAGCTCCCCGCTGGGGCGCGACGCGCGCGCAGCGGGGTTTGCCGAAATGGGTGGCGCGGACGCTTGTGGACGCAGCCATTGGGGCCTTCGGCGGCTCCCTTTGGGGCCGCGAAGCGCGCTGGGGGCGTGCCGAATCGGCGCGGGGCGCACGTGGGCGCAGCCGCTGCGGCTCCTTTTGGAGTCCCCCATAGGGCCACGAAGCGCGCCCCCAATGAGCCCTCGAGAATCGCGCGAGGGGTGCGCCGAGATTGGCGCGGGGCGCGCGTGGGCTCAGCCGCTGGGGCCTTCGGCGGAGCTCCATAGGGGGCCACGAGCCGCGTGAGGGGTGCGTCGACATGGGCGCGGAACGCACGCAGGCGGCACCACTGGAGCCTTCAGTGGAGCTCCCTTTGGTGGGGCCACGAACCGCGCGAGGGGCGTGCCGAAAATGGCGCGGGACGCACGTGGACGCAGCCACCGGGGCCTTCGGTGGAGCACCTGACAGGGCCACAAATGGTGCGAGTGGTGCCCCGAAGTACGCGGCGGGCACGCATGTGCCCACCCTCATTGGGGCTCTCGGTGGAGTTCCCTAGGGAGCCACGAAACGCGTGAAGGGCGCGCCGGAATGAGCGGCCGGGGCGCAGGCGGGCGGCGCCATGGAAACCGCCAGTGGAGATCTTTATGGGGCCACGAAATGTGTGAGGGATGTGCCCATATCGGCGGCTGGGGCGCACGCGGGCGGCGCCGCTCGGACCTTCGGTGGAGCTCTCTCTGGGGGCGCGAAACTTGCGAGGGGTTCGCCGAAATGCGCGGCTGGGACCCTGCGGGGCCGCGGGCGGCGCCATTAGGAACTTCCCTGAGGTTCCCTATGGGGCCGCGAAGCGTGCGAGGAGTGCGCCGCTGGGGCGCGCGCGGGCGTCGCCGCGGCGCCTCGGGGGCCATCGGGGGAGCTCCTCGCGAGGCCGCGCGGGGCGCGGGGGGCGCGCCCAAACGAGCGGCCGGGGCGACCGCGGGGCGCCGCGGGGACTTTCGTTGGAGATCTTTTTAGTGGGGCCACGAAACATGCGAGGCGCGTGCCGAAATAATCGCATGCGAAGCACGCGGGCGGCGCCATGGGGGCGTTCGGCGGGGCCCCCTAGGGGGCCGCGAAACATGCGCCGACATGAATGCCTGCCTGGCAGCCGCCGCTCGCAGAGCTTCTCGGACAGCAGGCGCGTGATGGACCAGATCCAGGACACGCTGAGCCCCGAGGCGGGGGCGTTCAGGGCCGGGTGCCTGGAGCTGCGCAAGGACGCGAGCTCGAGGTCGATGCTCGACGAGACGCTCGTGGAGTACCTGGGCTGCCTCTACTCCGACGGCTACAACCACGAGCGGGGCGACAGCCTGCTGGCAGGCCTGGCGTTCGAGGAGCTGTGGTTCAGGCGCGGCGGCGCGAGGGATCCTGCTCGGGCCCTCGCTGCCCTCCTGGGCCTCCGCCGCCTGGCGCCTGGGCAGGCCAGGACGGCGCGGCCGCGGGCCAAGCTGGCTGCGCTGCTGGGAGCTGGAGTCGTCGCGATGGGGGTAGTCCTCGGGATCAGCCGGCGTTTGCGGGGGACGGACGGCGGCGGCTGCCAAGCGACAGCAGGAGCCGGCAGGGCCGGTCGTTCGCTCGGTCCCCGCCAGGCTCCGGAGTTCAGAACTGGGCCCTGCTGTTGCACACCGCCACGGCCGACGGCCGGAGCAAGGCGGACCGCGAGGACGTGGGGCTGCTGCTCGACGGGTTCTTCACAAAGGGCATCGATTCCCAGCTCGGGCCACTGAAGAAAGCGGCAGGGCACGCCGCCAGCCTGCGGCCGTGCACGGCCGCGGAGTTCAGGGAGGGGTTCAGTCGAGCGGCCGCCGCGATCGGTCGGCCAGCCCCGCAACCGTACCAGGTGAGGCAGGGAGCGGTCGACGACGACGCGCTGTACCAGAAGCGGTCGCTGGGCGACAGCCGCGCGGCGCTGCTGCCGCCGCGCGACCGAGCCGCAGCGGGGCGCTGAAGGCGGGACGCCTGCAGCGACTGGGCGACACGCTCGTGCGGAGCTGGCCGCTGACAGCAGCCGCAGTCCGAGCAGGACTGGGCGAGGCGTTGCGCCAGGAGCTGGGCGACCGAGCCTCGTGTTATCTTGACTTGTTTTTCAGGCGCAGGCGGCGTGGCCCGCGCCATCAGGCGTCTCGCACGGTGTACGCCTTGAGATGGATCTCAAGCGCTCAGAGTTCTTCGATATGTCCTCGAAGGTGGTCGGACAGACCGTCGTGGGATGGATCGCCAGCCGCCACGCGCTCGCTGTCGCCGCCGCTTTCCCTTGCTCAACTTGGTCGCAGGCCTCGCGCAACTTCCATCGCAACCCCAGTAATATGTATGGCCATTCTCACCTCGAGGGGGCGGCGCTGCAGCGCCTTATTGTAGGAAACGCAACCCTTGTTGTCACTCAGATGGTCATCCGTGCGTGCATTCATCATGCTGTGCCTATCGCGTGTGAGAACCCACTCAGTAGTTACGCCTGGCAGGAACCAGTTATGCGTCAGCTCTCTGCACATCCTTGCTGCCGGGGCGCCATCTTCGATATGTGTCAATTCGGAACTGCGTGGAGAAAGCCCACCAGACTGCGATCCTGGAATTGCGCAGTTCCCCCCTCTCAACTGCGCGCCCGCTGTCAGAGCACGCGCGGCGCATGCTCCGCAACAGGCCGTCCGCATCTCATTTTGCAAGGGCCTGGCCCCAGAGGCGTGCGGCGAAGCCGCATCGCAGAAGAATGCCCCAGCAGGCTGTGCCATCACATGGCCCGCTGGCTCACTTTGAGCGTCGAAAAGCTGCGAGAGCTGCGCCTACGGCGCCTGGCAGATTGTTGAAGCATGCGGCCTCCAGGGCGCAGTATGGGATCGGGCGGAGCATGGCTCCTCGGGTCGCTTGCAAGCTGGAAGCCGCTCAGTCATACAAACATCGTTCTGGCCTAAGCAAAAGGAACCGGCATGTCTAGCTCTGTGAACGTGATTGCCTGTCCAACAGTCTCGGCCGCTGCGCGGCAGGATGCAGGGGAGAGCCCAGGATAGCATGTGCTCTGTCCGCTGCCGTGCTGGCCCAAGCCTTTCACCTCCCTTTCCCCTCCTGCCTCCCTCTTCTGTCTTGTTTTTATTCTCTTGCACAGGGTGTCTAGAGCTCCGACCACTTTATTTCGGCACCGCACCCCCCCCTTCATCATCATCATCATCATCATCATCACCATCATCAGCACCATCATCATCATCACCATCATCCTCACCATCATCACCATCATAATCACCATCATCATCATCAGCATCCACATCATCATCATCATCATCATCATCATCATCATGCGCCCCCTCCGTCTCAGCGCCCTCCCGCGGCTCCAGCGCTCGCCCAGTGCCTCCTCCGCCCCGACCACTTTATTTCGGCACCGCACCCCCCCTCCCCGCTCCGCCTCCTCCCCCGCGCCGTCTCATCGCCCCCGCGGCTCCAGCGCCCGCCCAGTGCCCCCTCCGCTTCGACCACTTTATTTCGGCACCGCACCCCTCCCCCGCTCCGCCCCCTCCCCGCGCCGTCTCAGCGCCCCCCCGCGGCTCCAGCGCCGCCCGCCCAGTGCCCCCTCCGCCCCGACCACTTTTTTCGGCACCGCACCCCCCCCCCGTTCCGCCCCCTCCCCCGCGCCGTCTCACGCCCCCCCGCGCTCCAGCGCCCGCCCCCCCCTCCGCCGACCACTTTATTTCGGCACCGCAGCCCCCCCTCCCCGCTCCGCCCCCTCCCCCGCGCCGTCTCAGCGCCCCCGCGCGGCTCCAGCCCGTGCCCCTCCGCCCCGACCGCTTCATTTCGGCACCGCCCCCCCCCGCTCCGCCCCGTCCCCCGCGCCGTCTCAGCGCCCCGCGCGGCTCAGCGCCCGCCCAGTGCCCCCTCCGCCCCGACCACTTTATTTCGGCACCGCACCCCCCCCCCCGCTCCGCCCCCTCCCCCGCGCCGTCTCAGCGCCCTCGCGCGGCTCCAGCGCCCGCCCAGTGCCCCCTCCGCCTCGACCACTTTATTTCGGCACCGCACCCCCCCCCGCTCCGCCCCCTCCCCCGCGCCGTCTCAGCGCCCCCCCGCGGCTCCAGCGCCCGCCCAGTGCCTCCTCCGCCCCGACCACTTTATTTCGGCACCGCACCCCCCCTCAAAACAACGCTCGCCCCTCCCCGCG